ACTAATATCATAAAAAAATTCAAAATCAATATTAATATATTAGATAAGACTGAGTAACAGCTATGTCTATCATTTCAGGAAATTTTGCGAATTCTTTTGATTTTTTAAGTGTAAAAAATTGAAAATAAAAATAAAAATAACTATAATTAAAACTAAATCGAATATACTATAAAATCTATAAATAGAAAATCAATTATTTCCCCTTGAAAGCCTCTGGACAAGCTCGTTGTCCCATCTTTCCAGCTCATCAGTTACCATAAATAATAGAGTATACATAACATTGTTTGTTGTTATAGTTGTTAGTAGTATATTAGTTGTTATTGTTGTTGTGATTGTTGTTGTGATACAAAACTGGTTTAAGCTTGTTTGGATTTTGTTTTGATCTTTAAATAAAATCTGATTGGATGATTAAAGAGTGCTGATCATCTTGAGGAGGTAAACAGATTTCAGTTTTTTGTGTGAAAATTTTTTGGAAATTGAAAATAGAAAAGTACTGGCTTAAGCTGCCAGATTACAGGATACAATTCTCTAATATTTTACTTCCACTTGCAATAAAAATACTATTTTTACTCACATTGGTTAGGCTTTGGTTGCCTTTTTTCTTTAAGGATAGTATTGCTACTTGTGAGTCGTAACTTCATTGTTGAGATAATAAATAGTCATGTAGTTGGTAAAAGAGTATTGTAATTGAGGTATAAGTGAGTTAGGTAACTAGAGCCTGCTTCAATTGCTTGTTTTGTTGTTTGAGTACATGTAAAGTAAAGATTACTGGAATCTGTGCAAGACACAGGTTACGCACTCTCCCATTCTGATAAGTTATCAGATTATTTCTTTGTTATTGTTGTTATTATTATTATTGTTGTTGTTATTGTTGAGTGTAAGAATTTTTTGTTAAGAAAACTAGTTATGGATGGATTTGAACAGGTTTGATTTTGTTGTTAAGGAGTGAAAAAATTTTATTAGTTGTTTGTTGGGTGTAGATCTTTTGATGGGATAGAACTGGTTATGGTTTTTTGAGTAAATTTGAAAAGAATATTGAAGAATGAAAAAAATAAGATGAAATATTGGTTTTGAGATAGAAAGAAAAATAATAAGCTTGCAAAGGTTGTGTTAAGACAAACATTAGATCCAGTAACTTTGTTTGAATATGTTGTTAGGATTGAATTTGTATTATAGAGAGAAGAAGTATAAAGGGAAAAGTGGTTATCATAATTATATAAAGGGAGGTATCTAAAGACAAAAAATTATGAAGGAAGGCTGCCACGAGCCTTTTCCCATGCAACCAAGAGCTAAAGAAGACTTCCAACTTGCTTAGGTCTTGACCAGAGATCCTATCCCAATGCAACAGTATTTCTTAAAGTCTTTATGTCCTTTGGGTTTAAAGCTTATTTGCCTTAAAGAATAAGAAAAGGAAAATACTTCTTGAAAGAAGATTTCTTAAAAAGAAAATTTTCAAAAAATCAGTAGTGAATAGGTAAGAGTTTTTTTTTATATAAAATAAAATTTATTAGATATAATATTAAAATTAATATTTTTTTTAATATTGAATTATTTCATTGTAAATTATTTTATAGAATATTGATAGTATTTTAGATTAATAAGAAAGTTATAATTCAATTAAATGTTTGCAATTTATGTATTATATAGAATTTATATATATATACATGGATGTATTTTTTTTTTAATACCAAAATAGCTATTAGTATCTTTATTATTTATAAGAGATTGCTGTATGGCAATATTACAAATCTAAAAACTAATATATATCTCTTTTTGCTAAGAAGAGTCTAATGTAAAACACAACAAAAGTGGTTCTGACCATTCCAGTATTGTCCTATAAATCCACCTAAGTGTTAGTAAAATATAATATTAAAACCTAGACTTAATACTTAGACAGGTGTCTAATGTAAACTAGGAAGGATTAGAAATATCCAAACATATAAAGGTTATTCTAATCAATTTCAATTATCTTTTTTATTATTATTAATTATTAAATAAGAAATCTTGAAAAAAGTATTTTATTAATATTAATGTTTTATGAATATGAATTTTTGATAACTTATTATAAATATATATATATTACTTTTTTTTTTTAAAGTAAAACATATATAAGATATATGATCTTTATTGATACATTTATATATTTAGACAAATATTATGTGTTTTTACAAATTAATTAGAAATCAGTTGGTACATAAATATTCATTATGTCTTTATAGCTAATCTGCAGATTAATATTTCCTAGTGCATATATTGCTATAAGACCAGTTATGTTAATTACTTATAATCCAACTATATATTTATTTAAATATCTGAAAATGTATTCATATATCAAGTAAAACTTTTTGCGGAAGGGTAAATTCTATCACTAATTTAAAACCCATCTAACTTATTAAATCCATATTGTAAAGAGTAATATAGTATGGAATGTTATTATAGAAATTAATCTTAGTTATTTCAATTATTTGTTATCACTGATTCTTGGAATGTATCATTAGCATAGTATAGCACTACTGTTTTTATCACTTGTGAAACTAGCATCCTTGCTTAGATTTTGATTTAATCTTAATAATCCTTATCAAATATACTTGATCTTAATAATTTTTGTCTGGATTGTTATCTTTTATGGTCAATAACTTTTTACTCTTTTGATTTATTTAAGTTCAAGAGAACATCACTTATGGGATAAATTCTCAAACTCCAGATTGGAATAGATTAACTTAGAATTAATCTTTTTGGATTGTATAATGGAGTCTGCCATATCAGTTTGGGTTAGATTTTTTTTTTATGAACTTTTATCAGAGTTAAATCAGAAGCTTTTTCTTGTGCAACCTTCTATACTTTAGCCTATTTTTAGCTCATGATTGTCAGAAAAACCAAAGGTTCTATTTTCATGCAGCCTAACTAAATTTGAATATGATTAAGAATTATTGAATATGATATATATAGGATATCCAGTAAACCTGCATATGAAGATAAATGTGCTTTTTGCCTTTTGTAGATATTAAACTAAAGACATATATTTGATAACCTGAAAGTACTAGAATATATATATATACAAACTTTTTATCATATTAATTACATAAGTAAAAAGATATAATATGATAAATTACTTATATAAATAGTTAATAGTAGTTTATTGTTTCTTCTTAAAAAAGTTGAATTGATAAATTGAATAGTTTAAATTAGTGGCAAAAATTTTTTGTCTTTTTATAAATAATGGAATATATCTTAAGAATAAATAATATATTATTAAGCATGAAGAAAATATATTAGTATTTAGTTATTATAATAGCAATAGAGAATATTTGATATATTTTAAAATTGAAAACCTTCAATAAAAGCTTGTATTTAATATTATTCTATTATAAAAAAAAAAAATAATAAATAAATAAATAAATAAATATAAAATTGCAAATGTAATTTAAAAAAATAATATAATAAAATTTATAAATTTAAAAAAATAAATTTATATTTTAATCTCTCCTGATCACAACAGTTTTGCTAAAAATTTTCTTTTTATGATAATTTTAAGCAAAAAAAAAATGTTTTATACTCTTTATTGCAAGTGAGCTCCAGTTCAGAAACTTAAGAATTTTCAAGACAACTGGTGCAGTGGGATGGGACCTCTGGTTGAAGTCTATTCAAGTTTGGGAGTTTTGCTTATCCTTCGGTTACATGAGAAAAGGCCCATGGCAGTTTTCTTTTTTTCAGTTCTCTTGCATCTCACCTTACCCTTATTATATCATAAAACCATCTATACTATCACCATCATATTTGCCAAACCAAATACTTTCCAAAACACATTTATAAACAGAATTAGTAGGTCTACTGTTTGTTTTAAGTCAATCTACACACACAATATTTTCGTAGCAATATTTGCTATGCCATTTTCAATTCCTAAAAAATTTTTACCCAAAAAACCGAAATCAGTTTATCTCTCAAGATGATCAGCACTCCTTAATCATCCAATCAGATTTCACTTAAAGATCAAAACAAAACTCAAACAAGCTCAAACTGGTTTTGTATCACAACAATGATCATAACAACAACAACAACTAATACACTACCAACAACTATAACAACAAATAATATTACGTATACTTTATCATCTATGGTAATTGACGAGCTGGAGAAATGGGACAACAAGCCTGTCCAGAGGCTTCCAAGGGGAAATAGTAGTTTTCTATCTATAGATTATAGTCTGCTTGACATAATTCTAATTATAGTTATTTTTCTTTTTCTTTTTAATTTTTTTATACTTAAAAAATCAAAAGAATTCACAAAATTTCCTGGGATGGTAGGCATAGCCACTACTTAATCTTATCTAGCATATTAATATTAATTTTGAATTTTTTTATGATATTAGTTAGATATTGTAAAAGTAAGCAAGCTAGCATTTAACTTGTTGTATACAATGCATCTAAGAGATGTTGTTTCTTTCATGATGTATACCTTGTTATATACAATATCAAATAAAGAAATGATGTTTACCTACTGGAGAAACCCTCCCCAAAAAATTTATATTTTAATAATATATAAGATTTCATAAATGTTTTTTATTTTATTTTAAAAACTATTTATAATATATATAATTTTATAAATATTTTTTGAAAACAATAAATTTTTTTATATACTATATATTAATAATTATTTAATACAGTATGATTTTTTTAAATATGAATATTTTTCTTAGAAAAAAAAGTTTTTTGCATTTTAACAATTACTTATTTCAAGATATGATTTCATGTAAGCTTTTTTTTATCGTATATTTTTTTAAAATATAGTAATTGATATTAAAGAAAAAAAATTTTTTTTTTTTTTTATTTATAACACAAACAGCAAATATGTATTGTAATTGGTCAATTTTTTTGATTTTTATACCGTCTGAAAAAATTTTGAATTTTACAACCGCGGGGTTTCATATATTGGCATATTGGCATTTTAAAAAAAAATTCTCTCCGAATTGCACGAATTAAATTTGAGTCAAGAAATATAACATGGTAGGAAATTAAAAAAGTTCTTAATGTTTCATTCCATATGCAAAAGATTTCTGATCGTGTTTCAATTACAGGATACCAAACAAACAGTTAAGCACGCTAAAGTTACCAAAGTCCTCGGCCGTACTGGTTCCCGAGGTGGTGTAACTCAAGTTAGAGTCGAATTCCTTGACGATGCCACTCGATCAATCATTCGTAACGTCAAAGGACCTGTTCGCGAAAACGACATTCTATGTCTCTTGGAATCTGAGCGTGAAGCGAGACGTCTGCGCTAGCGCTACAACAAAAAAATATTGTCATTCAAAAATTGCAAGAATTCGTTAATTATATTTTATATTGAATTTTTTGTTCATGGCCGTGAATCTATAGTAAATGAATTGATTAATTTTAATCTGGTTTATAAGTTTACAAATTAGAGTTAAAATTCCATTTGAAAAATTGGGTTTAAAAAAATGTTCTGGCAAATATTGTCTTATTTTGCGGATGAAAGAGATCCCATATTAAGACTCAATTCATATTAGAACATGGGTTTTTAATAAAAAATTGGTTTGTCTATAGTATTTCTCGCTTTGTTATACTTCCGAATCCTCGTTGTTGCTGGAATAACCGATACCCCATGAAAGCAGCACCCATTATTGCACCCATGACCGCTGTGAATGTCAGGTATCTCTTGATCCTGGACGCACCGTGTACAGAATCTGCCAGTCCAGGAGTTGCCATAGCAGGATTTATCGAAACTCCTGTCAATAAATTCCACAGATCGGCGGTTTGTTGGTTCTTCACGGAAACGCTCAAGGGAACAGCGAGACCAAGATTGCGACAATATACATCCGGTTGAACTTCGTGTCGCTGAAATAATAAGAGCTCAAGTGTCAAAGCTGATGCATTCTAATGACCAAGTGAGGAATTCTGTTTCACTAACCTGCTGCACCAAGTCTAGATCACTCTTTGTAGCAACAAATACAGTAGGAAAATTGTCTAAATTGTGACGTTTCTGGAGATGTGAAAAAATCGGTTGGTAAAAATTTTCGCGAGAAGAACGCGATAGGCACACAACATGCAATTTCTTAGCTTACCCGAAGTTCGACAATGTAAGAAAATGAGTTTGTGTCACTCGAATCGTATACAAAACAAATCAAATCGCACGCTTCCAATTTACGCTTGTTTTGAAGTATCTCGGCCTCATATTTCGAACCAAATTCCTGAAGCTATATATACACACCATAATAACGAACATATGTTTTTAAATGGGTTTCGCTTTGTAATTATGTAAACCGCATACATCACCTACCACCAAATACTTTTCTGCGCCTTTTATCTCGACAGAGTTTACCACACTAAACGACCTTGAGGTCGGTGTATATCCATCTGTGAAAGGTTTGTTCACAAATGCCCTTAACAATGATGACTTTATCGTTTGAAAGTGGATATCAGCGAACCACATATATGAATTGTCGTTAGGCGCATTAATCGATATACAAGAAAAAAGGAGAAAAACATCGCCTTACCTTACCAGATCCTGCCGCTCCAAAAACATAGGCCAGAAACACATTTCTTTGAACTTTATTTCGTTTCCTGTCCACCTTCCTAGGTTTTGTCCTTTTTAACGCCGTCGTGGTATCGCCCTCGAATCCCAGATAGGCTAGATACGACAGTGTCGTCTTGTGATCAAGCAATGTCGTCATGCTAGTAATAGGAATGGTCATGGTGAACATTAGATCTTATAGCACAAACCACGTCGCATCTGAAACGAACGCATTCTCGCACATGCCTCCATTGTGCCAACCACCCTTGCAACGTTACCGCATCGGCTTCATTCGTAATCGTTGTATGTGGAAACTCGGAGTTTGTCCATGGATTAGATGGCGTCGTGCTGAACAACTGTTCCAATTCGCTGTCTTTCAGTGCGCCATCTTTATCCTTGATGAATGTCAGTTCGTGCGTAACAATCGTTCTCTTCAAATCACATTATCTTTTTTCATCCTTACCTTATCAAAAACTTGAAATATGTCGGTGAAGAATTGATATCCATTGGGACTTAATTCTACAGAGCAGTCATGGGGCACGTCAAACCTGATTAGCGACACGGCCAAAGTAACGTGTCAAATAAATATAAAGGAAAAATTCAAGATAATTCTGATTAAATCTAGGATACTAACGGAGGGAAAAGAAAATCTTCTCGTAGTGATAGATCGTCGCCATATCCAAATTTACGTAGAACTGTCCACGTGGTTTCTAAGCGACCCCTTTGTATGAATAGTGTGTGAAGAAATAGAAAACCAAGTTCCGTCAATCCTACTTCGTTAACACCAGCAGGCTCGTGCTCCTTTACAACCTCCTTGACTCCTTCAAGTTCTTGTTGTTGTAATGGAGCGTTAAAACATTTCCGCTTTGAACCGCATGGTCCACAAGGTTAACACCGAGTTAGTTGGCTAACAATTGATGAAATTTCTCCGGGGAAAGAAAGATGCCAACCTGAAATTCATTCAGTTCATCATCATTCAGCACTGCATCCTTGTCAGTATCACATAAATTAAAAATTCGCTTAAGGGCGTCGATGCAAGCCGGCTTCAAAACCTGATTCCCCGCCACCCAAAGAGTTGATGTCAATAATTTTGAATAAGTAACTCGTGAAGGCGAATTATCGGTGCAATTGATTGAACCGAGATGTTTTACATACGTGATCCCTTGAATCGTACAAGGGCGCCGTGGGATGAAGTACGGCTTTTTGTGCAAAATAGAATACTTCGGACACATTCAACGGTTGTTTCGCCGAACATTCCACGCAAGTCTCTACTTCCTAAAGATAAGAAAATTCGATGAATATGATTGACCAAGAAAAAAAAAAATGAACCCAAATAATCGGACGTCAATTAACCTTAAACTCATTCATTATGGGTATTATTTCATCTTCCAATGACTGATTGGTGACCTGGTCCCCTCGAAGGTCGATCTTGTTCCCTACCAACACAACGGGGACCTAAACGTTCCACCAAATAGTGTTGTTATACATATTAGACCAGATTAAACTTTCTTGTTGTAATGAGAAGAGCATGGATAAAGCATTCGAACTTTTTTTGGTTTTTCCCCTCTTTTGCTCACATTCACCCCAAGACCCCTGATATACGGCAGCCAATATGAAGCTAGGCGGTTAAATGTATGTTGATCGTCTACGGAATAGACGATGCATATTACATGTGCCTTCCTAATTTCGGTTTCCAATTGCTCACGATATTCTGCACGAGCTGTTGTTTAGTGGCACCAACGAGAAATTGATTAGCGCATTATTAGGAATTCTCGAAAAGTAAATTCGAAATACCAGAAAAGGGATAGGTATTAACCTACCTGAAGAATCGACAATATGTGTAACAACGTTTTCCGGTGTAACTTCTGGTGGAATTGTGACTTCAGGGACGACGTGTTGAATCTTGGATATTTTGAAATGGAGTGTTAGCTACAAAAGAGGGTCGAGCGGATTGCGTGTCTCGGGAGTCAGGTTACTTACATCGGGGACGAAAGTCTCCTTGATGAGCGACGTTATGAGCGTACTCTTTCCAACACCGTCTTTAAAAATGTTTTTTTTTTACACGAGAGATCAACAAATGGAATAGAAAAAATGTAGAACGTTGAAACACTCGTCGGGACGGGGTAATTTAGACTTACCGTCCCCAACAAGTAATATCCGCACTACCCGTCGCATCCTTGAGAATTTTACGCGTATGAGGTGAATTTCAGTAATAATTTACGAAATTGCGACAGATTTGAAGACGAAGACGTATTAGGATTCACAGCGGAATAGGATGTAGATATTTGTGGCTTGTGCCACGTGATTGTATCACGCCACAAAAAGAAATTTACATTTACACAGGTAGAAAAAATTTTTGAGGATGCTGATCAAGCGACGGCCTCGGTGGCATCCCTGTGAATACTTCTAAATAGCCACAACAAAACGGTTGTTTTACACTCCGGACGATCGACTGACTAAAAAAATTTGTCACAATGCTAGGTAAAATTTTATTAAGATTGAGCGACCAAATTAAATGTTATATACATTATGTGATACATCATTGTTTTTAATAGATCAGATAGCAATTTATACTTTAAATGTATTATTAAACTTTATTTTATTTTTATTTTTTAAAGAAAAAGAAGTTGACAAATTAGAAAATAAGATAATATAAAATGAAATATAAAAAAATTTCCATTTTTTTTATATAAAAAAGTAAATGGTTTTTTTTTCCTTGAAAAAAAAAATTCAAGTTCTCAAATGTACATGTGCTTTACAAGAAATATATATATATATGTATATATATATATTATTATTTCTCTACATTCAAACTTTTCAATTATATACTTACAGATCGTGTGAAATTATTTAATGTTAATTATCATCATCCAGAGGAAGCCCAAAAGAGCTTTTGTATAATTTCTAATTAAGCCGACTTTTCTTTTATAATGATCAATTAGCTAACTATGTATATAGAGATACAGTATATGCGCGTGTGCATAGCATGGGAGATGTTCGCCTATGTGAATCCTTTTTTTGGCGTACCATTACCGCCGACACGGCGAGTCGCACCACTGTACATATTTCTCGCAAAATCCACAAACAGGTAAGTCAGTGGGAACAGATAGGCAAGATTAATGTAGGTGGCTAGAACCTGACCTTTGCTCACCAAGCAATTATCCACAAACAGATAGCTAGCGGCGATGGATGTGCCCACAAGGAATTGGGTGATTTGCATTCTGGTCAGATACTGTTTGCCGGGTGGGTTAAAACCGATGCTGGTCAACGCATAGTAGGCATACATGATGGAATGGATGAAGGAATTGAACACCACGAAGATCCAGATGGGTGGAGCCTTGAAGTTCATACCGGCCCACATCGTTATCATTGCACCGGAGTGATGGTAGGTTTGCAGTAAAGAGGAACGACGTCCTTTTAAAAGGATTATTATGGTATCGACTATTTCGTAGACTATATGGAAGATTTGCGGATCGCACGTGAGAATTTAAAAACTTGCGAAGAATTGATCAAAAATGCTTACATTTTGAAAGATAAAAAAGATAGCCCCAATAGGCAAGCGCATTATCCCAAAAGCAGCCATCTCGGTCACAGTACTATCATCGATGATAATGAATTTATATGAAAAAGAAAAATTGAAAATGAGTTGTATGAAAAATCAAAAAAAAAAAGATAAAAGTTTTTTCTTTTTGCACGCGCAGATGAACAAACAACTCACAGCATCCGTGAAATTATCACGATGTTTGTAGAAACTGTTGATGAAAGTCGGAGTGACGGAGAGGAATGTGATGACGGAAAAGGCGCACAAGAACAGATTATGCAAGAACACAAAGGCGGTCATCAGTTTCCCACTTTTCTTACTAATACTCGTTGGCTTCAATCCTTTTTGCTTTGCCACCATCCTTGAAACATTATTTGATTTTGGATTCAGGAATGAGATGGCAAATGCGTATGAGAAGGCGAACAACACGGGAAAGCGATAATCCATCAAGATTGGATAGAATTCGGAAAACGGGATGTCCGGATGTGCCGGGGTGGTGGGCAAGGAAATTGGTGGGAGGATATGAGCGACTGGTGCAAAAAATACGTTGGGATCCATCTTTCTTTTCTTTATGTATGAGTTTTTGATCGTTAAGCAAATTAGTTATTTGCTGACATCTGACGATTTGTCGTCTCGTTTATCGTAAGAAAAACAAAAGTTGTGTATTTGGATCGTTCTAACAATCGCAAGAAAAAAAACGTTTGACTCCTTTACCTCTTTTACTTTCAATCTCAGCTGATGGTATTTATAGAAAATTTTATTATTGGATCACAATCGATTATTTGGGGAATGACCGGTTGATTTTCCCCCCAAAAATTTTCAATTTAACATCATTTTGCTTGCATTAACTCATTTATTAACTCATTTCAGTAACAATATTACGATGTCGGGCGTGCCATTCAACAAAAGCTTTTTATGATAACCTTTTACCAAAAACATGAACCGCACCAATTATTTAAACTTCCTATAATGGATAAGTCGGATCATTGGTCTTAATTTCGGTAAGTGAAATCGTGAATACATCACTTCTCACATTCACATTTTGTCAAGTGCTTGTCAAGTGTTGGAAATTTTTTCAAACTCCTTTTGGTAATAAACAATCGGTCAACCCGTTTCTTATAACAAAATTTCGGAAAAAAGAAAAATAGGATTATGGGATGTGAATTGCTTGCTGCCAAATATATCGCAATTTTCCAGCGGTAACATCGCTATATTGGGTCTAGAATGGATGAATGAACCAAATAGGTATGTACAATATGTAGTCGAAGCGATAGCAACGATTCGGTTTGGTTCGTACGTGGTTACCAAACATTACGTAGTCAAGTAATACACAGTAATGCACACGACGCCTTTCGTAATGCTAGATTGTCTAACCCTTACGTAAAGAACTTCTGCCTAGCGAAGAATCTGTGTTCCCTTAAACAAATACCTACACAATCGGATAACATGATCAATATAAACAACGTAATGTGATACAGTTTACATCATGAAACATTCATCACGTGAAATTTACATCGGTTCACGTGAAATTTACACTTTGGCAAACTCGAGAGAAATGTTGGGTGTGAAAAATAAATTTTTTCTCAAAAAAGTAAAAGCACAATAAAGTTACAAAGGAATACTATTACAAAAAAATTTTTTCATTTTTCTAAACTACACACGCCGCTTATCCATTCATCTTTTTTTTCTTTTTTTTTTTCTAGCGAATTGAAAGTAAAAAATGTTTTTGCTTTGTGATAGGTAATTATAAAGAATGGTCTGCTTAGGATGAAAGTTGTGATGAGACTGATGAAGAAAATTGTACAAAATCGGAGTGATTTGACGCGCCGTAGAAAAATAATTATTAGTGTAGTAAGTTCAATGATAAAAAAATATATTAACAGAGGTGTCGATGTTGTCGGTGATGGCGGTGGCGGTTGTTTGGATTGCGTAGAATAGAAGTTGAAGTTAGAAAACTTAAATGTTATTCAAAAAAAAAAAAAAAAAGAATATTATTATTATGTTTATAACTAATAAATAAATATATATATATAATACGTTACTAAGAAACCTCAAAACCTTAAAAAAAAAAAAAGAACTATATTTTATCATAGGATAAATCTTTTTTTTTTTTTTTTTTAAAAAAAAAGCAAAGGTTGGCATCAGAAAGGTAGGCTCTCGACAAACCAACAAGATAATAATCCCACAAAGTCCCGTTTTTCTTTTTTTATTATTGAAAATAACTTTGCTTTTGTCGTGTATGCCATTCTAGTTGCAAAATAAAAATATATATACTAAGAATTACAATCACAGGCATCCTGTTTACCTATGAATAAAAAAAAGCTTATAAAACTTATCATCTCTTGTGTCTCCCTTCTTCTCACTACTCAACAATAGCTTCTGTGAATATTTTTTCGGCCACAACATATTTCTCTTCACTTCTGGTCAGTCTCTTCACACAAGCCCAGGTACTCGGCAACGTCATAAATAACCATGCACTAACTGGTAACCACATATAGTCCGTATAGTTCTTCCATGTCCGCGTCTCACTATTACCTTTCTTGAATAGCTCTGCGTCTACTGTCCTGTGTAAGCCCTCATAGATCATTGCGCATAAGAGCAAAGGCATGGGTAACAGTACGCCTACAGCTTGTACTAATGAGAACATGTAGGCGTAAAAGTCCGAATTGACTATCGGATTTTGAAAACTGGGGTAATAGTCGGCTATAGGTGAATATGTCGATATAAGCAAGAACTGCGTTATAGGTACTGCTGCGAACATTAGCCATCCCGACGTTGCTGGGATCATGTGAGCCTCGAGTACATGAAAAACCACCATGGCTTTATCAAAAAATGAGCAAGACATCAGACAAGAAGGTCTCTTTCCGGACGAAGATGTGTATGTGGTGGCCGCCGTCATTGTGGTAGGGGAGGAACCGAGAAGTGATTCAGTGTCTAGTGAATGACCATTTTTGCTGAAAGCCGACTTCAACGAATACGCGACATCTGCGACACCGTTATAGTGACGCTTTGCTTGAACAAAACGAGCGTATATATTTGAGATGTAACTAGTGGTTTCGACATTGGTAAGATTTATCGGAACGAATATCGGAACTGATCTAGCTTGACCTCCCGTTTTGAAGAAACATTTTAGCCACATGTGCAAATCTTCACCGACAGCATCTTTGTCAGTGTCCCAGAATCCGACTTGTTCTGCAAGAAGCTTGAAGCGAAAAAAAAAACTTGTAAGTCAAGACACTATTATCATCAATCTGATCAACCGCTTCCTTAGAAGAGAAAAAAAATTTTCGCATTTACCATGCTCAAGCTATACGTAGAACAGGGAAATGCCAAACCCCGAGGATTACTCAGGTTTTGCATGACCATGATAGACCACATTATATCCGTGACACGCACTGCGGCGGGAACATTCAGTGCGTTCCTTGAGAAAAAGATGGGTGGTGAGCATATGGTGTTGTAAGGATCCTCGGATTCTGTCAGTGCCTTTTCCACGTGGCGAACGTAGAGTTCTGGAATTGCTGAATCGGAATCCGTTATGGTAAAGACTACACGTCGCCTGTCAAACTTTCGTACCAGGTAGTCGCATGCCTCCCGAGCGGCATATGCAACATTACTTCCTTTCCCCCGACTCTCGCCTGGGACATCTTTGGGATGGACCGTGATTATAAAGTCAAGAAAGGAGTCGTCAAAGTTTCTTTTGATGCTTGCTGCCTTTGAGGCGTGATCGACCTCTGATTCTTCCATCGCCAGTACAATGATGTAAGTTGTGGTGGCGTTCCTTTATGATCAGAGGTTAGGTCGTTTTTTATTCATAAATATGGACTTAGAATTACAAAACAAAACGTAAAAAAAAAAATTTTTTTTTCTTGAATTTCATAAGAATGATATCGCACCTATGCTGAGCCAATCTTTTTATGGTGTCTCTTAGTAATGCTTCTGGTTCTTCGTAATTTGGTATGACAAAAGCATGAATATAATGCCCGTCATCATAAATTTTTAGCGCATTCTCCATCTCATTTAATCTGGTGTCGCTATCGAATTGGTCGGTCATGGGCACAGACGTGTAACCATTTCTTGTCGGTGTTGTCCTCTCATTACTAGTCGCCGAGCTTTTCACCACCTCTTTCGTGGTGTAATCTCGGGATGTTGATTGATGTTCTCGCCTCGCATTCCAATCCCGAATGTTCCTCTTAATATTTCTGACGGTTATACAGAATTTGAGAAAGTGGTTTATGGAAATATATAAGAATACTGTGAAGTAGGTCAGTAGGAACCAAATGTAAGTGCGTGGAAAAAATATCGGTCCAAAGGGGAGAATAAAAATAGCGGCGAGAGCGGTGAGCGGAGCAACTAATTCGAAAAAGTGGTGGAATATTTCCGTCATGGTTGGCTATATTTAATCAATCAATCCTTTCGTTCAATTGTCAAAAAATTGTTCGTCTGTGTGAAGAAATAATGTGAACAACTACTCTAAATATAAGGTAATTCAACGAAAATGACAATATTGCAAGTTATCAGACGCCAATTAACAAGGAGACATGAAGGCTACAATCGTATCGTGTTATGCGTAAGCTAAAATCCCTTCAACATGTGCTCGTCAAATTAAAAATAGTTGGCAGAAAATAAAAGTCATATAAGGTCAATCCAAGCTAATATGTGATGGTTATATAGTAGAAGGAGAAAAGGAAATGAAGCCAAAAAAAAAAAATGAAGCAAGATTACAGTTCGCGAATCAGTTTCTTAAAAGAAGTCAAAAAAAACAATCAAAAACGTTTGCGGAGGACCAAGAAACAAAGGCGTCTTCCGGACGAACTGATTTTAATTAACCAGGCGCCATGAGAAGCCTTTACCTTTTTAATTTCCACTCTTGCTTCCTTCCTGTTATTTTTTATATTCGTTATTATGAAAAAATTGAACAAGGCATAAGCGTCGACAGGCACCAAAACCCAAAACGAACCAAGAACGGGTTGATAATGGTTGTGAACACAGATAAATTTGGATATGGACGCTGCAAGAGCAAATTATCTGGAGACAAAAGAATCGTAGAATTTATTAATGGGATGACACAAGAAACGATAATTGGAATGGTTACGTAAACTGCGAACACAAGTAACAACAAAAGTGTTGGGCAACAGTCAAAAGGGAAAAAAAAAAAACTTTTATAAAAAAAAAAAAAAAGTTCTAGTATTTTTGATGCGACTGATATTGAAAGCTCTGATCGCATCAGTCCCTAATGAAGTGGTCATGTCGCACTATGTAATATGTCATCATCCAATGAAACATCCAAGCTTGGGTGTGTTGTATGAAATGGTTCAGGATTGACAGTTGAGCATGGTTGGACATTGTAACAAAAGCTGTCACTAAATTTAGCCACTTCCTGGATGAATTTGATATTAATATGCAATATTAGTTGAAACTGACCGCCCAACCACTAATCCACCTGCCATCCCCTCACCACCACTTTTTTGGGAAGTAGCTGCCCGGTTTATTTAAAATTTACTATGACATATTTATTCATTAGTCATTTATTTATACATATATGCATTTAATCATTAAAGATCCTATATAGGTTATAAGAGGGTTGTAGTAGATGAACGAATAAGAGCATCAGAAATTGAATATTTGAAATCCAGGTAACATCCCGGTTACGTAACTCGCTCTTTAAAGGACATATGCGATGTCTGAGAGAGGAACCTAAAACAACATATATTTTTACGCCATTTTTTTCCGAATGTTGGCGAGCCCTTATTTTTTATTAAGTATGTGACAGGCTATGTTATTGATTGATGGGCGAGCCAGATGGTCGTTGCACATTATAGGTGGCTTGCGAAAAAAACAAGCAAAAAAAAGTCGTCTGTACGACCAAGATTATTATTACGGTGTCACCTCTCCTTCGCATGAATGTTTTCGTCCGAATTTCGGGGCAATATTCTCCCAGATATACGAACCTCATGAGATGCGCTATATAGATGCGTAGATTGTGTCGAATTCCGTCAAAAGAAATTGTTTCCGGACGTTTTTGCAAATGGGGTTGGAGTTCGAACACGGAGCTTGCTCATTAATGCCTAATACACAATTGAACTAGAAAACGTTAGCTCGGTGTCTTGTTTACAGCCTAAGCTTGTTTTAATTAATAAATGAGTATCGAGGGCAAAAAATATTTTGCCAATCAGCTTCCGATTGTTACACGGACGATTTTCAATCGTATCGGGACATTAAAGAGATCAAGAATAGTAAATTTTCTCGGATAAAAGGCATGAGGCTAACATGCTTTTTATTTAAAAGGCACTCTGAAACTACATTTAGAATTAAATTACCTTCCGCGAGGAATCTTAATGGTCTCTGGTATAGTACAAAGTTAACTGATTTAAGAAAAGAGATAATTACACAACTGCACCTGAGCTTGTCATTACATTTCACATTTCATAAAATTTCTGATGTTCCTTTTTTTTTTATATTGTAACCGACGAAATCAAATCATACCAGTGTGAGATCTTTAGGTTTTTCTAGATAAATTATATCAAGAAATCAATGTTCACATGTGTACTGCACAAAATCATAATCAATAGAAAAATCAATAATATAAAATACACAATGGATTGCATATACATATAATTAAAGAAAAAAATTTCGAATTACGGTATCTCATTAATCCTTAAATAAACCTGGCGAATTTCTAGAAGTCTTCACACAATGCATTATCATACATCATTTATTTGTCATTTCTTTTTTTTTTTAAAAATGCCTTTTTCTATAATCGCTATTATTTATAGATTTTTCTTTGTTATTTTTGTATGATCAAAAAAATTGTTTATGGTTCCATGTCTCATTGAATTTTTTATTGTATAATGAATATATGCAAAAGGATACGCACGTATTTCTTGTTTTATTTTATTTAATCTTTTCATTTGTCTAATTGAGTATTTGATTACCTGATTCGAGTTTTATTTTGATTGTTTATTCGATTTTTTGTTATAATTGAAAATCCAGATCAATTAAATTAAAAGAAATTGTTATCTAAAATAATATGATAATGTCAATTTATTTTATATAAAATAAAATTTGAAGAATTTATGTTTCTATTTAAAAAATAAAATATAAATTGTTTAATGAAAATTTTTTACTTTAAATGATTATACAATATATTGTATATGATTTGATTAAAAGAAAACCTTTTTTGAAAAAATTATCCGATTCCAGTAAACATCAATATTAAAAAACACTTGATATGCTATATAGCTTAGATATTAATCATCAATAAAAAACATGCATTATTGCATAATTTTCTTTTAAAAATAATAAATAAAATAATAAATAATAAATGTATATATTTGTTTTTATATATAAGTTTTAATAAATAAATTAAATTAAAAAAAAAAAAAATAATAATCTCTTTCTATTCATTATTAAATATTCTGTTTAAAAAAAAAACAAAAAATATTTTATTTTCAATAATTATAAAAACTTTTTAAAAATAACAAACTAATATAGATATAAATTTTTCAAAATAAATTTATTAATCATTAATTCTTTTAGATATATTTATCAAATAAAAATTTTTTAAAAAGAAAAGCTTACTTTTTAATTTATAACAAATTTTTAAAAAATCAATATTTATTATTATTATTACAATTAAATCAATACTAAATCAAAAATTTTTTTTAAATACTTTAATAATTCTTGAAAAATCAAATAATTTTATTATTACTTAAGATTTAAAAAATATAAAAATTTTTTGGTTATTATATAAAATTAAAAAAAACTTTATTCAAATATTTATTATTTAAAAATTAAAATTAATAAAACAATCTTATATATTTAAATATAATATTAAAATATTTTTATTTTTAAATATTATTTTTATATATTCTTTAATTAACTTTTTTAAATAAACAATATCAAATATTTAAGTAACAAATAATTTATAAACAATATTATTAAAATTTTAAAATAATATATGTTTCAAAAAACCATATAAATTTCAAAACAATATATTGTATATTTTAAAACAATAAAAATAAAATATACAGTATTTAAAATATATATTACAAAAAATTAAACATTAAAACAAATATATCTTAAAGTTTATATTATAAAAAAAATATAAATGCAAAAATAAAAACTTTAAATATTTAATTATTATATTAAAATAAAATTTTAATATATTTTTAAATAATAATGTTTAATAAAAAAATATAATATTAAACTTTTAATATATTATTATTATTAACTTATAATTTAATATTATTCTTGTAAATAAAACAAAATATTAGATATTAAAATAAAATTAAACAAATATATTTCTATAAAATTCTTTAGAACAATTATTTTATATTTTTTTAAATATTATCAAGTTAAATTTTTTAAACTTATTGATATTTTAGATAAACTTTATAATATT